TGCAAATTTTTCTTATGGTCAACTATAACTTTGTACCCTATGGAGAAAGTAGTTCTGGTTCTGGGAAACTCACAGTTCCAGATTAAAAAAAAAAAAAAACCCTCTTTTCGACTGGGCGCAATGGTTCACCCCTGTAATTCCAGCACTTTGGGAGGCCAAGGTGGGTGGATCACCTGAGGTCAGGAGTTTGCAACCAGCCTGGCCAACGTGGTGAAACACTTTCTCTACTAAAACTACAAAAAAATTAGCCAGTTGTGGTGGTGGGTGCCCACCTACTACTCAGCTACTCTGGAGGCTGAGTAAGGAAAATCGCTTGAAACTGGGAGGCGGAGGTTGCAGCGAGCCAAGACAGCGCCATTGCACTCCAGCTTGGGCAACAAGAGCGAAACTCTTGTCTCAAAAAAAACCAAAACCCTTTTCATTAACTGTCATTCTCCATTCTACCCTCCCTCAGTCCCTCATAACCACTAGTATGCTTTGTGTTTCTGTGAATTTGTCTTTTCTTGACATTTTATATAAGCAGATCAGACAGTATGTGGCCTTTTATGTCTGACTTCTTTCACTTAGCATGTTTTCAAGGTTTATCTGTATTTTAGCACCTATCAGTGTCTTTTTAATGACTGAATAATTTTGCATTTTATGGATATATCACATTTTGTTTATCTGTTCATTGGTTGAAGGACATTGGATGGCTCTGAAGTTCATAATTTCAAGTGATTGTTACTTTACGTTTTAAATTTTTGGCCCGGTATGGTGGCTCACTCTTGTAATCACAGCACTTTGGGAGGCCAAGCTGGGTGGATCACTTGAGGTCAGGAGTTCGAGACCAGCCTGGCCAACATAGTGAAACCCTGTCTTTACTAAAAATACAAAATTTAGCCAAGCCTGGTGGCGGGCACCTGAAATCCTAGCTACTTGGGAGGCTGAGGCAGGAAAATCACTTGAACCCAGGAGGCAGAGGTTGCAGTGAGCCGAGGTCGTGCTACTGCATTTGAGCCTGGGCAACAGAGCAAGACTCTGTCTTAAAAAAAAAAAAAACAAAAACTATTTTTTAGAAGCTTGGCATAATCACATAATAATTTTCAGTTGTATCACGGAGGCCAATCGTTTTGCAAAAGTAATATAATTACTATACAAATATTTGCTAATAATCGGAAATTCTAATTTTGGCATGTTGAATACCTGGTAAATCAGTAGTTTGATTTATATTTTCCTGAAGGTACATAGTGGGTAAACTACTCTGTCTAAACCAGCACTGTCCAGTAGATCTGATGGAAAGATGAAAATGTACAGTCTAGTACAGTAGCTGTATGACTGTTCAGCACTTGAAATATAGCTAATACTACTGAGCTGCTGACTTTATAGTTTTAATTTAACTTATTTATTTATTTCTTTCTTTTGAGATGGAGTCTCACTCTCTCGCCCAGGCTGGAGTACAGTGGCACCATCTTGGCTCACTGCAACCTCCTCTCAGGTTCAAGCAATTCTCCTGCCTCAGCCTCCCGAGTAGCTGGGACTACAGGTGCTTGCCATCATGCCCGGCTAACTTTTTGTATTTTTAGTTGAGACGGGGTTTCACTGTGTTAGCCAGCGTGGCTTCGATATCCTGACCTTGTGATCTGCCCGCCTCAGCCTCCCAAAGTGCTGGAATTACAGGCATAAACCACCACGCCTGGCCTCTAATTTACCTTTTTTTTTTGAGATTGAGTCTCGCTCTGTCGCCCAGGCTGGAGTGCAGTGGCGCGATCTCAGCTCACTACAAGCTCTGCCTCCTGGGTTCACACCATTCTTCTGCCTCAGCCTCCCGAGTAGCTGGGACTATAGGCACATGCCACCACGCCTGGCTAATTTTTTGTATTTTTAGTAGAGACGGGGTTTCACCGTATTAGCCAGGATGGTCTCGATTTCCTGATCTCATGATCTGCCCACCTCGGCTCCCAAAGTGTTGGGATTACAGGCGTGAACCACCACACCCGGCTAATTTAACTTTTAAAAGCTACATGTGGGCCAGGCACAGTGGCTCATGCCTATAATCCCAGCACTTTGGGAGGCCAAGGTGGGAGGATCACTTGAGGCCAGGAGTTCAAGGTTAGTCTGGGCAACATAGCCAAACCCTGTCTCTACAAATGATTTAAAAATTAGTTAGGCATGGTGGTGCTTGCCTGTAGTTCTAGCTACTAGGGAAGCTGAGGCAGGAAGATTGTTTGAGCCCAGGACTTCAAGGCTGCAGTAAGCTATGATTGTGTCGTTGCACCCCAGCCTGGGTGACAGAGTGAGACCCCATTTCTAAAAAATACTCTTAAGAAAAGCTGCCGGCCGGGTGTGGTGGCTCATGCCTGTAATCCTACCACTTTGGGAGGCCGAGGTGGGCGGATCACCTGAGGTCGGGAGTTCAAGATCAGCCTGACCAACATGGAGAAACCCCACCTCTACTAAAAATACAAACTTAACCAGGCGTGGTGGCTCACACCTGTAATCCCAGCTACTCAGAAGGCTGAGGCAGGGGAATCACTTGAACCCAGGAGGCGGAAGTTGCAGTGAGCCAAGATCATGCCATTGTACTCCAGCCTGAGCAACAGAATGAGACCTTGTCTCAAAAAAAGAAAAGAAAGAAAGAAAAGCTTCCAATTTAAATTCCTGCTTAGCTTTTTCTAAGGTGCCTAGTGAGAGGTAACAAATGGAGAATGCCCTGTGGCATGTAAGGGGAGGGGAACTAGAAGAAAATCTTGTCATCCACTTGGTTTCTAATTGAGAATCTAGGTGGATCACAGATTTCTCCTTTGTGGCCAGACAAAAATGTTAGGGTGTTACCACTGCAATGGGAACAGCCAAACAACCTTTTGTTTCTTTCTCAGTTTTCTTTTTCTTTTTCTTTTTCTTTTTTTTTGCGATGGAGTCTTGCTCTCGTTGCCCAGGCTGGAGTGCAGTGGTACAGTCTTGGCTCACTGCAACCTCCGCCTCCTGGATTTAAGCGATTCTCGTGCCTCAGCCTCCCAAGTAGCTGGGGTTACAGGTGCCTGCCCCAATGTCCGGCTAATTTTTTGTGTTTTTGGTAGAGATGGGGTATCGCCATGTTGGCCAGACTGGTCTCGAACTCCTGACCTCAGGTGATCTGCCTGCCTTAGCCTCCCAAAGTGCTGGAATTATAGGCCTGAGCCACCGCTCCTGGGCTGTTTTTCAGTTTTCTTATGTAAAATACTCATTTTCAGAGCAGACACCTTTTTCTTACTGCTTTTCAAAGAATTTCGTTATCAGTTTTAGTTTGCAATATTAACTCTTTTTTCTGGAGGGAAGATATGTATTAGAAGAGTATATAAAGTAACCATTTCTGGAGATTTTTGGGTGGAAAGATAACAGATCTGACTTCTATGTTAAGTCAACCTTAAACACTTTTGTTTTCCTTGCTTTTATTTAAAATTACTGTCTTTCAAAACCTGGAACCTTTTTTGTAGGTCAGTATTTATACAAAGAGAATTAGCAATATGAAACCTGGAGGGCCATCTGTGAGTTGCAAAGCAACACCTGTGGCTGTTACTAGCCAACTAGCATAATCATAATTTGGAGTCATTTGACCTGACTACTAGGATTTTTTTTTTCCTGGTTCATCTACTTATATTGTACTTTTTAAAATGAGTTTTAAGTCTCTTCTCATAATTTGTTGCCTCAGTTTCCTTTTTTCCTGTAAAATTATAAACAGTAATACTATATTTGCCTCCTTCCTAAAAGTATAAACACTGAGGTGTTTATTAAGGATTTCATATTCCTTTCAATAAAAATATTCTAAGGAGGCAATAATGATAAAGAATGTGGACTCAGGCCAGGCACAGTGACTCATGCTTATAATCCCAGCCCTTTGGGAGGCTGAGGTGGGTGGATCACTTGAGGTCAGGAGTTCTAGAACAGGCTGGCCAACATGTTAAAACCCCGTCTTTACTAAAAATGCAAAAATTAGCCAGGCATGGTGGCAGGAACCTGTAATCGTAGCTACTTGAGAGGCTGAGGTAGGAGAATTGCTTGAACCTGGGAGGCGGAGATTGAAGTGAGCTGAAATCGCACCATTGCACTCCAGTCTGGGCAACAGAGCGAGACTCAATCTTTCTTTTTTGAGACAAGGTCTTACTTGTTCGCCAGGCTGGAGTACGGTGACAGGATCATGGCTCACTGCTGCCTCAACCTCCTGGGCTCAAGCAATTCTCCTACCTCAGCCTCCTGAGTAACTGGGACTACAGTTGTGCACCACCATGTCCAGCTAATTTTTTTAAAAGTTTTTTATAGGTCAAGTACAGTGGCTTATGCCTGTAATCCCAGCACTTTGGGAGCTGAGGCAGGAGGATTGTGTGAGCCCAGAAGTTCAGAGTTCAAGATCAGCCTGGGTAACACAGCAAGACCCTGTCTCTTTAAAAAAAAAAAAAGAGTTTTATGAGCTAGATTTGGCAAACACCTTTAGTCCCAGCTATTCAAGAGGCTGAGGTGGGAAGATCATGTGAGTCTAGGACTTCAAGGACAACCTGGGCAACATAGCAAGACCTCATCTCTAAAGTATGAAAATAAAATATTTTATGATCAGTAGAATCATATTTTCAGATAACTCCATCTTTTTATGAGTATATTTTAAAAATTTTTTATCAGAAAAATTTGTATTACTTAAATGGCTGTCTGTAATAGGTAGATTATTTTCAGATTACTAAAATCACAAGACTGTTTACTTGATTATTTATGTATGTATGTATTTATTTATTTAGTGAGACAGAGTTTCGCTCTTTTGTTCAGGCTGGAGTGAAGTGGACTGATCTTGGCTCACAGCAACCTCTGCCTGCCCCAGGTTCAAGTTATTCTCCTGCCTCAGCCTCCCGAGTAGCTGGGATTACAGGTGCATGCCACCATGCCTGGCTAATTTCTGTATTTTTAGTAGAGATGGGGTTTCACAATCTTGGCCGGGCTGGTCTACTTGATAATTTTTAAGGAGACTCACCTAATTTTCTTACATTTTGTTTTTGTAGGTAATTTTAACCAATCAGATGACAACAAAGATTGATAAAAATCAGGCCTTGCTCGTTCCTGCATTAGGTGGGTAATTAATCAGATAAACATTTTAGTTAATCACAGTTTTTCTTATCTCTTTCATTTGATTTTCCAGATAAACATTTTAGTTAATCACAGTTTTTCTTATCTCTTTCATTTGATTCTCATTGAATACTATAGCTTCATGAAAGCAGACTGTATTTGTCTTGTTCACTGGTTAATCTTAGCACTAAGCACAGTACCCTTAAATACTGGCTGTTCCTTTTAGTTATTTAACATTTATTGAGTGGCCAGACACAGCCTCTCACACCTGTAATCCCAACACCTTGGGAGGCCGAGGCGGATCACTTGAGACCAGGAGTTCAAGACCGGCTGGTCAACATGGTGAAACCCTGTCTCTCCTAAAAATACAAAAAATTAGCCGGACATAGTGGCGCACACTTGTAATCCCCCCTACTTGGGAGGCTGAGGAATGAGAATTGCTTGAACCTGGGAGGCACAGGCTGCAGTGTGCTGGGATCGTGCCACTGCACTCCAACCTGGGGGACAGAGTAAGACTCTTAAAAAAGTGCGTATCTACTGTCTGGCAACTATTGTGTCAAAATTCTTGCCCCCAGGGAGATCACAGTGTTAGAGAGAAGGAAGGGTGAATACACTTAAATACAAGTCACATTACAGTGAATATCGTGGTTTTGTTAGAATGCAATGCTTCAAGGTTTATTTCCACTAAAATCTTAAAGAATATTCTACCAGAGTTTTGGCCAGGCACGGTGGCTTATGCCTGTAATCCCAGCACTTTGGGAGGCCGAGGTAGGTGGATCACCTGAGCTCGGGAGTTTGAGACCAGCCTGACCAACATGGAGAACTCAGTCTCTACTAAAAATACAAAATTAGCTGGGTGCGGTGGCACATTCCTGTGATCCCAGCTACTCGGGAGGCTGAGGCAGGAGAATCGCTTGAACCTGGGAGGCAGAGGTTGCAGTAAGCTGAGATTGCGCCATTGCACTCCAGCCTGGGCAACAAGAGCAAAACTCTTGTCTCAAAAACAAAAAAAGTTTCTGCCCTGGACTAGTTTTCAGCTAATGGCATAGATCATTCTATAAACAGATAATGTCGTAAAGGTTACAATAGAAAGGTACAGGGTACTGTACAAAGGACAGATTCTAACCTGGCCCAGGTGAGCAGGATGAAAAGGAGGAAGGTTAGGGAAGGGAGTGTAATAGTCTCTCATGTTTCTTCCACCTCTTTTTGTCACTTTCTATCACCCATTTAATTAAGAGCTTCCTAATGTTTGGATCCACTCAGGGGTAATCAAACTCAGCCTTTCTCAAACTCATTCTTTCAGCACGCCATGATAAATCAGAAAGCAAATTTATAAATTTAGTGAGAATTACAATTGTCAAACAGAGTGAAATTTATGTTTTCTAGTCAGTTTATTTTCTTCCCAGATACCAGAAAGTTGGGAAAGCAGGGGTTCAGAGTTGGTGAGCAGAGAAGCAAATAAATGGAAATGGATGCCCTCAGGAATGTTATGCTTAAGTTGTAATAATTCTGATGCCGACCTTACTTTACTAGCAGAACACCCTTTATCTTGAATATTGCTAGGATATTGTTCAATATAACTTTCAGTTATGATAGAAATGTTCTATGTCTGTGCTCTTCAGTGCAGTAGCCCTTGCTACATGTGGCTATTGAGGCATTTAAAATGTGGCTAGTGCAGCTGTGGAATGGAATGTTTAATTGAATTTTACTTAAATTTAAATTGCCACATGTGGCAAGTGACTGCCCTGTTGTACAGTGCAGCACTGGATAAACATAACTCCTGTGTTCTAGACTTCAGTCCCACCATTAGCTTTCTGTTTTTGACAGTGTTTGCTGGTATAATAGGTCACTGCTCATTTTACATTACTATCAGTTTAGTTTCCTTTATATTTCAGAGGCTCCCTAATCCCTTAAAGAGATTTAAAAATCAATGTAGACCACTTCTGTGTGAAAATAAGATGGCTGAATTTGCTGTGATTGGAATTAGAAACCGGACCTCTCTTGGCTAGTTCTGGAATTTGGCCAGGATGCACATCAAAATCTCATTCCTACCCTCCTGATTTGTTTCATACAAACTTTGTTGCTGTGTCTGTTCTTTGGTCTTCTATTGCTATGTCTCAGCTTTAGATTCTGTGTCTTGCGTAGAAATGGATCATCAGAATGCAACAGGCAGAAGACTTAGAAGTGCAAATCAGTAGGGTAATGACAAACCCTTTGAGCTGAGTGGGACTGAGAAGTAACCTAACATATAACCTATTAGTAATTGTTTACCATGAAGATTTTCAGTGCTGGACACGTAAATTGCTGAGTTCAACTGCCCTCTTTGCCCTCCAAATCCAGCATAAAAGCAAATGGTGATCTCAGGGCAGTTTCACACCTAATATGACTAATAATAAAAGTCTTGTGTTTCAGGAGCTCAGTTTGTCCAGTCCTGAGCCCATCATCTCTACCTCACAAATTATATCCACCTTTTCATTTCCTTGCACTGTGTCTGCATGATACGATAGTACTCCCAAGCACCATTGCTTAAATCTTGAGTTACACCTCATGCTTTTTTTGGGTCTTTTTTTCTTTTTAATGTGAAATAGAATATACAAATGAAAATGTGTATTTAAAAGAACAATAATAAATGTCCAGGTGCCCGTTGCTCACACTGACAAATGGAACATTACCACACCCCAGGAGCCTCGTGTACTCTCCCCCAAAGAGGCAGCCACTGTCCTGAATTTTGTATAATTGTCACCTAGCTTTTATAGATTTTACTGTCTGTATATCCCCAACAGTCGCTTATTTATAGCTTTTATATAAATAGAATTATACTGTATATGACTGACAACTTTTGCTCATTATTATTTTTGGATTCATCCATGTTGTTGTATGACAGTGTAGTTCATTTCCATGACATGAATATGCCACAACTTAATTACATATTCTGTTGATGTCAAAAAAAAAAAAGAATATTTTACCAGAGTTTTTACTTTTCTTCTGGAGGTCAGAAACATGTTAGGCTTGATGATATGGAAAATTGACACACATATGGACTCAGACAATAAAGTTTTCTAAAAGCAAATAGAGAATAATGATTTGCATTATTTCCCTAGATTGGTAAAAATCTTGTAATCTCAGGATATTACTCATTTTCCAGGTTTTTTGAAAGCAAGTAAACTTTTATTATGTTAAATAAAGTAAGATTATGTTTGATCAGAGGCGTTCTGAGAAATGTATAACCAAGTCAGTAAGGCAATATACAGTTATTATGTTCTTTACTCTTAGGGGAAAGTTGGGGACATGCTGCTACAATACGGCTAATCTTTCATTGGGACCGAAAGCAAAGGTCAGTATAGAAACAAGTTAATAATTCTGAATATTGGGTTAATTACACTGAATGAACACTTACAGATTTCTTAGAGCTAGTCCTGTGGATGAGATATACAATGACCCATGAAGGCAACTTTTGTTGCCTTGTCTGATATCACCTAGAGCAAACATAGAAATGTGCTGTTATTACTGCATATTTAGCTACATAGGAAATTCTCTGGAATATTTAAATGATGGGGCGCATGCACCCGAAATGAGTAGGTGGCCAAGGAATGCCATTTTCTAAAGCTCTTTGAAATAATTTATTAGCCATGTAGAAGGAGGTGAGTACTCTGTGTTCCTGAAAGAGATTGAAAAAAAAGAACAAAATCAGGACAAAAGGAAAATTGTTGAGGTTAGCTTTAAAATTAATTTATTTGGAACATACAATGGTTTTTCTTAGTTCCTTAGTGTATTTCTTGTATGAAATTGTGTCTTTTTTTTTCATTTTGTATTTTGCTCTCCGGCTTTTATTATCCAGTTACTTACCTGCATTTCACAAGTATTGTTCTTTAAAAGTATGGCAGCATGAAATCTTTGTATTTGTTTTTAAAGCTGCTGAGCAAGTGAACAAACCAGCTTTTATTTTCTTGAAAATAGGCCATTGAAAGCAGTGAAGTCTTTTCTATACTTCTAGAAAATGTCAGATTTATACTAGCCTCTCTGCTTTGTGATTAATTGGTATAACCTAGAGGTCTTGGTTTGGAAATGCTCTAATAAAGGGAGAAATTAAAAGGCATGCGGGTAAAGATGGAATAAAGGGTCACTTAAATACATATTGGGCCTAGCCAGTGAAATCGTCTATTTTTTAATCTATATTTCTTTGTTGTTTTACAAACTGAAAAAAATCTTGCCTGACCAAGTTAGGTTTTGCGGACCCGAAGCTCATAACAGAATCGATTACACTTCTGTATGTATCTTTTGCAACTGATCGTGCAGTTTGTGTCTTCTTTAAAAATGGTATTTGCGAAGAGCTCAGGTAACGTTTTTTTCCCCACAATACATAGTACTTTACTATTGACTGTCTCCCCCTAATTTAAACAAATTTTTTACTTTAAACCAATATGTCTGGTAAATCCTCCCCCTAATTTTTTTTCTATGATCACAATTTGAGATAGTTCCCCTAGTTTTATAAGTTAAGTTGCTGTATACTAGAGCCACAAAAGGAATTCTTTTCTTGGCACCAAACCTTATTGTAAAGATTTGGCAACAGTTCTCCAGCTGAGAGTCTTTTGAACATATTGTTTATACTTTCCCAGTTTTAGGTTATTCTGTAAAGCACATTCCATCATTTATTTTTTCATAGGAATTACGCCTGAGCTAGTATACAGTAGTCTTCTTCAGACTATAATTAAATATTCACTAATAAAATGCATTTAAGAAGAAAAATAATAGGAGCAGAGCAAGATATTTCATCTTTTTATGAACTCATCAGGAGGAAAACTTTGACTTCTTTGTCAAGTTCTAGAAGTTGGCATTGATAAGGTACCCAAGAGATCAGAAAATCTTGCTTACCATGAGTTAACCTTTTATGAATTCACCTTCTTACAAATCCTTTCCAAGAAATTAGAAAATAAAATACATGGCCGGACGCAGTGGGTCACACCTGTAATCCGAGCACTTTGGGAGGCTGAGGTAGGTGGATCATGAGGTCAGGAGATCAAGACCATCCTGGCCAACGTGGTGAAACCCTGTCTCTATTAAAAATAAAAAGTTAGCTGGGTATGGTGGCACATGCCTTTAGTCCCAGCTACTCAGGAGGCTGAGGCAGGAGAATCACTTGAACCCGGGAGGCGGAGGTTGCAGTGAGCCAAGATTGTGCCACTGCCCTCCAGCCTGGTGGCAGAGTGAGACTCCGTTCCCCCCAAAAAAAGAAAATGACGTACAACACCAACATTGAATATAGATAGATTGGGGGAAATCTGCTGTTCTATAATATTTTTTCTACATCTCATAAGATCTTTTTTAATTTTAATTTTTATTTTTCATACTGTCATTTTAGTGCTTGCTTGTACTAGGTATTTTACTAGGCACTTTACAACATTTCAGATAATCTTTTCAATAATTATTTGCAGAACCTGTACCGATTATTATTAAAAGTCAGAAAACCAAGGCCCAGAAAGGTTAACTGAATAAGTATTAAATAATAGCTACTATTTATTGAATATTTATTAACTGTCCTTTATTGTGCAAAGCACTGTATGTATACGTATATATACATGTATGTATGTGTATGTATATATTTTTTATTTTATTTTCCACATAATTCTTTGAAATAGTATTACCAGATGAGATCGGGCACATTCAGGGTGGTATGGCTATAGGCTGAAATAGTATTATCTACATTTTATAGCTGACTTTATAAACTTTTTTTTTTTTGAGAGGGAGTTTCGCTCTTTTGCCCAGGCTGAGGTGCTATGGTGAGATCTCGGCTCACTTCAACCTCCACCTCCTGGGGTCAAGTGATTCTCTTGTCTCAGCCTCCCGAGTAGCTGGTATTATAGGCGCCTGCCACCACGCCTTGCTAATTTTGTATTTTTAGTAGAGACGGGCTTTCTCTATGTTGGCCAGGCTGGTCTTGAACTCCTGACCTCAAGTGACCTTCCCACCTTGGCCTCCCAAAGTGCTGGGATTACAGGCGTGAGCCACCACACCCAGCCATAGCTGACTTTATAATAGAGTTCATTTCTTTTCTTCTATGATGACTGTTTCTAGAAGGTAATTGTAGTATTGCGTTGATTGCCAGCCAATCTGAATATGTAGCTTATTCCTTTTTTTAGGTAAAATCTTTTTTCTTCAAACTTTTTTTTTTCCAGGCTGTGGATATATGATAAATAATGTACATACTTTATGTAATCAAAATAAATTGACGTCATTTAATAGAATTGAAGTAGTTTTGCTCTTTATCATTTGAAACCTGGCATCTTTAAGTTGTTGAAGTTGCATGAGCTTGAGCCCAAAAGTTGGAGAACGGTCTGGCCAAAATGGCAAGACATCACCTCTATAGATAAATAAAAAATTAGCCGGGCGTGATGGTGGGCACCTATAATTCTAGCTATTTAGGAGGCCAGGGTTGGGAAAACCGCTTGAGCCCAGGAAGTCAGGGTGGCAGTGAGCTATGATTGTGCTATTACACTCCAGGCTGGGCCACAAAATGGGACCCCATCTCTAAGATATTAAAAAAAAAAAAAAAGTTAAATGAGGCCAGGCATGGTGGCTGACACCTATAATCCCAGCACTTTGGCTAGCCGAGGCAGGTGGATCACTTGAGGTTGAGAGTTCGAGACCAGCCTGGCCAATATGGGGAAATCCTGTCTCTACTAAAAATACAAAAAAATTAGCCAGGCATGGTGGCAGGCACCTGTAATCCCAGCTACTCGGGAGGCTGAGGTAGGAGAACCGCTTGAACCTGGGAGGCAGAGGTTGCAGTGAGCCAAGATTGAACCACTGCACTCCAGCCTGGACAGCAAAGTGAGACTCTGTCTCAAAAAAAAAAAAAAAAAAAAAGTTGGATGAAATTTTGTATGCTTTTATGCTTTTTAAATTTTAGTTTATTTTAAAAGGATGGAAATAGAAATTCATTATCAGTGAAAAATAGTTATAAAAATGAACATTTTTCATTTGGAGAGGAAGACTAAAAATCTTTTTTTTTTTTTTTCCAGCCTGGGCGACAGATGAGAATCCGTCTCCAAAAAAAAAAAAAAAAAAGT